ACGAGTTTCTAACTTATGATTTATTCTAATATATTTAACACATTTCATCTAATTAATTAGTTTTAACTAAATCATATTATGTTATATTATGTAGTACTTTGATGAATACATGTGTTCTACTTATTCAAAACATCATTTGGACGAAATTAAGGAGGATTGATGTCAATACATTATTGAGATGAGAATTTTATAAGGTATTGTGACACTTTTATTGATCAGAATTTTGAGTATATATAAGTTTGAGTTAATGAGATACTATATCGTCATAGTGTAGTAAATTGTTGCAATGTTGTTGTTGTTATTGAGATGAAAATTTTGTTTGTATGGTATGAACCGATGAATTTTTAATGGTGGGTTATAACGGAATCGGGGAATTTAGTTTTTATTATGAATCGGGGAATTTTTAATGATGGGTTATATTGGAATTTTGTTTGTTTGTATGGACGAAATCGGGTAATTTTGTTTGTATGCATGGCATAAATTGGGGAATTTTGTTTGTATGAATCTTGATTTGTTTAAGTGTTATATATATATATATATATATATATATATATATATATATATATATATATATATATATATATATATATATATATATATATATATATATATATATATATATATATATATATATATATATATATATATATATATATATATATATATATATATATATATAGCTTGATTATGATATATATGTCTTTATTTGTTTTGTTTCAGGTAGGTGCATATGTAGAAGATATATATAGATTCATTTAAGATTCTTTATTGTTGTTGTTTGTAGAGAAGATAGTAGAATATAACAGCTCTAGAAGATAACAATATATACATTTGGTGCATATTTATTTGTTTATAAAGTTGTATATGTAAATATTTAAATTTAAATTTATATAAATTATTGAACACTTTAAGTTGTATTTATGTATATATAAATTGTTAGATTAAAGTTGTTTATATAAATATGTAAATTTGATGCATATTTATTGGATTGAAGCTTCAAATTTATAAATTCTGATGCAAATTTAAAAGACAACACTTAAATTTTAAGTGATTATGTGTACATGGCGCTTAAAATATAAGCTGAATATATTAAAAAATCCGTTAACATTAGACAACGCTTTATACCAAAAAGCGCTGCCTATGAAATAACAAGCGCTGCCTAAAAGGGGACTTTAGACAGCGCTTACCTAAAATATATATAAAAAAAGAATATATTAGACAACGTTTTTTCTATAGTGTGCTTATAGCAGCGCTTTCACTTTAGACAGCGCTTGAGGAAGCACTGTCTAAAGTGAAAGCGCTGCTATAGGCACACTATAGAAAGCGCTTACATTGTTAAAGCGATGTCTATAGGAGCCTTTAGAAAGCGTTTATTCAATAAAGCGTTGTCTAAAGTCTATATTAAGCGACGCTTTCATATAGATCAAAAGCGTTGCTTAAGGTTACAACAACACAGAAATAGAAAGCGCTTATAACTATTGTCTATGGCCAAAAATAACGTTGTCTATATGCTTATTTAACATAGTGTCAAGTGACTAGTTTTTGATTGTTTCTATACTAGTACTTTTTGTTTTTGTACTGGTGAATTTTGAGTGGGACCCTTTAGTATTTGAGCCATTTCTTATGCCACTGTTATTAATATAAAAGGTTTTCTTGGCTTTGAAAAAAAATTGTACAAAATTTCTATCATGTACAACATCAGACTACACAGTTCGTGTATGCGTGTGTGTACGACGTATTAGTGAGGATTTTCAATTTCAAATTTTATCAAATTCTTTACTTTTTATTTTATCCAGTTCCGTAAACATTTTTTAAATCAAATCTAATACATCTAAAATTTTGTTATCAAGTTGTTAATTTTTTAGCAAATCAAATAGATCTAAATCTATCCTATAGCAATATTTTCAAATTATAACTACAAATTTCTCTATTCTTATTTTTTTTTTAAAAAAGATTAATACTTATTTATCTATGTATTATAGGTGAATTTTGATTTATTCCCCTTTAAAAAAAATTGATTATCTCTTATAATTATTTGGGTACACCCTAAGTGTGTAAAAATGAAGAGGATAAATAAATAAAAAAATATTTTACAAGGATAATATTTGCACCTAAAGAGCAAAAGACTTAAAATTTTAACATTTTAATGGATTTATCCAACAAAAAAAATTTAAAGGGGATAAATCCAAATTCGCCTATATTGCAGAGGGTAAATGACTATTTACTCTTTAAAAAGTTAATCAAAATAGTCTAAATCTATACTATAATTATAATGATATCGTAACAAAAGACAACCTGATTTGAAGGAAAATATATATGATTTTAAGTTACTCTATATAATCATAATATGGAAAGTGAAAACCATTTATTTCTTAGATGGGAGGGTACACTTTACTTTTCTAGCATTTGATGGAATGATTGTTTATCATGAACATTAGTAGAATTAGTTACGAAAATTTATTCAAACTTGCTAATAGAAGTTTAAGCTCTCAAATTCAGAATTTGATATCAACATAATAATTTTTTTAAAAATTTGGCACATAACAAGTGACATTCAATTTCAAAATGGTAATATTGACTTTAATAGAGACATTCTTCATGTTAAATAATTAGGCTATATCTACTTTGTTCAAGGGACACACATACTTTTCAATTCACGAGTTTAGTTAAATGTTTTGATATCAAATGTAGGTCTTCTCCTGCACCTATAATCATACAAGCTAATTGATGTTTTCCAAGTCATAATTAAATTAAATACAACACATATAGAACTTTGATAAGCCCAAAAGTGTAGTTATTTTGTATATACTTTTTGTTGTACTTATCGACTCTTGGTTGTTAATATCAGTTAAATAACCTAACTTTGTTTATAAATACGTTTAGTTTGTGTATAATGCGTTTTCATGAATAAATTGTATCGTTTGATAGTTTTCCATTCATTTTATAGGTATTGATGCATATTTGGAGCATGAGCAATAAAGTGTCGAAGACACAGCTTCAAACGTACGATTTTGAGCAACTCGTCAATGAATAAGGCTCAAAATCAAAGAATAAGAAATCATAAATTTGGTTTATATTTTGTCATTGTTAAACAGTGCATTGAATAAGCTTTCAAACGCTTCAACCCGAGCGCGAATTGGAGTTACGGTTCAAAAGTTATGGTCGAAATAATGCAGAATGTTGTGCTGATTTTTCAATATTCTGTCATCCGTCGTCGGGCAACGCTTTTGGTCGTCGGGCGATACTAGGCGAGCTGTAGCGTGGGAAAAACGTTGTTTTGGTCGCCGGGCGACGCTTTTTGGTCACCGTGCGATGCTGGACAGTCCGAAATGCGTATTTCAGTGTAAAAACACATTTTTTGGGTACGATTTTGGGTATTTTTGATTCCAACTCCATCAACCTTCATTTTTGGATAGGATTAGCTTAGAAAACAACATTGAAGCTTGTATACAGATAATCCGGAATAGATTGCTCATCAATCGGCGCTGACAAACCGGGAGATTTGTGGTTCATTTCTCTTCCTCTTTGTGTATTCTTTATGTGTTGAGTTTGTATATGTATTTACTCTGAACTTATGTATATTTGTCGCCCATGGCATTATATTAAACTTGCTTTACAAATCTTTGTCGATTATTATCTTAGATTTTTGCTCTGTGCTAGGGATTTTAGTTGTTATAGATATATACTGCTTAGATTCTTATCTATGATGATTATCTGTTAGTTTCTGAACTCTAGAGATAACTTTAGAGGTGACATTTACTTGGGTATCAGAGCTTAATGTCTCTGTATGGTTGTGTTGTACTGAGAGATCGTCAGTGTGATTACATAGTTGTCTTTTGTGTTGTTGAGGAGGTAGAGAGATCATTTCTTTGGTGATACAGTCAGTCTCTCAATTTGGGTTAGAAATGACTTAGATTGTGAGTGCTACGTAGTGACATTGATGAGTATTGTTAGGTTGAATGTAACTGGTCGATAGATTTAAGTCTGTGATGAGTAAATTATATGCAGGTTTGATAAGTTCTTCCTTAGTTTTTACTTTTATTTACTTTTATTTTCTGTTAATAACATTTTCTTTACAGAATCCATTCAATCCTAAACTCATTAACAATAATTTGTCGAACGACAATTCAATAATCAATCTCTGTGGACACGATAAATTCTCGAATAAATATTTCCAAATTTTTTGTTGTTTTCCGCTACACCGCTCCAACAAACTTCAAGAGGAAGTATTAGAATATCAACTTGTGTGGTGGCATATTTTGGGATAACTTAGGAACATTCTTGGAATCTTTTTCTGTTAAGACTGAAATTTGCATCTCTTTTTAAGTTGATTTGCATGAAATCATGACTATCGAATATGTTAATAAGGTGAATTAGAGAAATCTGTGACTTGAAATTAATTCTTAAATATTATCCCTTAGCATCTTTTAATTAAATAGAAAAATATTTTACATGTACACAATATATTTCTTTAAATTCAATATTACATATTTTAGGAGAGGAAAATAAATATATAGATAGATTAGCTTTCTATTATAACACATGGTGGGATTTACTTTCTTTTTATACTTTTTTTTAAAGTTTTTTAAGATGATAGTTAGACTTGTCCAACTATCATTTTTGTAATTTTTTATGAATTATGATTTACGTTCTCTAATTCTTTTTTGTTTTTTCCTTTTTTATTCAATAAATAGTCTTTATTTAAAAAAGGTAATCCAAATAGTTTAAACTTCCACAAAGAGACAACTAAATCACAAATTTATCTTTTTTTTTATACATAAGTAATGTTAAACATATATTGGTTTAGAATAAGGTCCATATGTAAACAACACTTAACACAAACATATTACAAGTTGAAAGACATTGTATATATTTTGGTTGAGAACATGATGCTAAATGAACATATCACCCACACACATGCCTATACCTCATCACTTGAATCCTCATTTGTGGATATACTCTTGGATTGTTTTGACCTCATTATGCCTACACTATCTTAACTAGATTTGCGTGTCTGAAATTGAAATACTTCTAGTTCTGCCTCCTATAAAAGAAACAGGCTCCAAAGGGAGCGGTAAAGAGACTGAATAACTACTAAGCATGAGTGCAATAGTTGCCATAGTTGGTCTTTCAACCTCATTTTCTTGAACACATAGTAAACCAATGTGAATGCATCTCATTATTTCATTTCGTGAATCATTATTTAGTGATGGGTCGATTATATTTGTGATTGTACCCTCCCTCCAGTTTCTCCACACCTGCTCAATTGCATAGATCACTAATTATAATTCTACTTTAAAATGGTTAGTTACATGTAATAGTATTTTGATGCATATTTTTTCATTGGTATGAAAGAAATAATATTGAGAGATAAGGACTTACAAAACTAAGCAAGTCTTCCATACTCTGCTCATGAAGATCGCCACAAACTTTCAAACCACTTGTAATTTCTAGAACTAGTATACCAAAACTAAAAACATCTGATTTTATTGAAAATTGTCCAAACATTGCATATTCAGGAGCCATATATCCACTACATAACACAATAAAATAATCTGATTAGTTCAATAACAATTCTAATTTCATGTTAATACAATAGGTTTTTCTATAATAACCAATGATTCATAGTAGTACCTTAAAAATAACTAAAATATCATAGAAATTATTTTAATAGTTAACTTCAATGAATTATTTGCAATACAATATTAATAATGAAAAATTGCACTTAACAAGATATGAATTTATATTCTTGTACTTACTATGTTCCAACGACTTTATTCGTATTTACTTGAGTTTGATCAACAAGTAATAATCGGGCCATACCAAAATCTGATATTTTAGGATTCATATTGTTGTCCAAGAGAATATTACTTGCTTTAAGATCACGATGTATAATGCGAAGTCGAGAATCCTCATGAAGGTAAAGAAGTCCTCTAACAATACCTTGAATGATTTTATATCGTCTTTCCCACTCTAATTGTGATCTCTTTAGTGGATCTATACATGGACCAAATTAGCTATTTTAGTAGTAATATGTATAGTCTTTTTATCAAGTGAAAACTAATGTAAGAGAGCAACAATGTAATAAAGCATATATTATAACCTACCAAATAAAAAGTAGTCGAGGCTTTTATTAGGAACAAATTCGTAGATAAGTATTCTTTCTTTTCCTTCTAAACAAAAACCAAGTAGTCGAACTAAATTTCGATGTTGAAGTTTAGCCAGTAAAAGCACTTCATTCTTAAATTCACTATCTCCTTGTCCAGAACCTTTTGACAACCGTTTTACCGCAATCACTTGTCCAGTAGAGAGTTCCCCCTGCAAACATTTCTCATTTCTATATATTAAGTACATGTTTGTTTTAATTTTAAAAAAATGGAAGTATTTTTAATTTTATAAATAGATTTTTTAAAATTGTTTTTTTAAAAATAATAATTTAAATTACATTTTCCTTTGAAACTTTTATAAAAAATTTCTTTATAAATTTTTATACACAAAAATAGTAACATTATAAAATTTATTTTATAAAAAAAACAAACGGGAGCTATAAGTTATTTCACGAGGAAGAATATGAGATACATGTAAATCAAATAGTTACTTACTTGATAAACAATTCCAAATCCGCCTTGTCCGAGTTTATTAGCATCAGAAAAGTTATTTGTTGCAACTTGTATTGTGTCAAAATTGAATTGCAATGACTCCTCGATTTCAATATCATCGTGATCTTGTTCTACTTCTTCAAGATTTATCTTTGGCTTACTTCTCATTGAGTATATGCAAATGAAACTTAGGAGAGCAACAACAACAACAGCGACAACAATAGACACTACTATGGCGATGGTAGTATGCGATGATTTGTTTTTTCCTGTAAAAATCAAAATCATCGGCTCAATTAGACATATTTAATCAGTATCATGACCTCTCGGTACTGGCTCTAGATTACTGGGACCTATTTCTCTAGAAACCAGAGTTGATTAAGAATAGTAAAATATTGACAACTAAGTACCTTGTGGTGGAGGTGAGATTTTCTCTGGGTCTATTATAGGCGTGGGATCATAGAAGAGATAGGATTCAAATCTAATATTACAACTAGGTTTAATAACTCTACCACCTTTCTTATTATTACAACAATTAGGAATTTCTGAGATAGCATCTTCTAAACAATCACTACAATCTTGAAATGACAAATCGGGTGTACACTGAACAAGACCGTATATAGGTTGAAAATTCACATCAGTGTCATTATCCGTGGCAAACTTACGTCGAGAATCACTTGATGCAGCTTTTTCCATCAATTTCGTCATCAAGTTCCCGAGAACTTGATTAAATTGATCCACCTCTGATGCGTTGTATGGGTTCCACATATAAAAACCAGGTGATTCTTCCATAATACCGAATATTGATCGGTTAGAGTAGCGTAACATGCAGTTATCATACCAACCAATAGCTTCTTTTTGATTTGGACACAGCTTTGGGAGAAGAACTCTTGAATCATTGAGACAACTGCGGCAAACATCTGGTTTAACATCTCCTCTGCAGAGTCCAATTGCGTTAACTTTGTCGTTATTTTGGCCATGGGAGAAATTGTAGAAACCGTAGTTGATTTCTGTGTTGGAAGTGAGATTTGACAAAAGGGTGTTGAGGTTGTTTTCATATGTGCTATTGGTTGTGTAGTTTCCTTTGTCGACACAAATGTTGTACAAAAAATTTGGCTGGGCTTTGGTTAGAGATACAATAATAAGAAAGAGAAAAGAATAAAGGGAAAATAATAACTTGCACGTTACAATTGCCATTTGATATAGTTTTCTTTCTCAGAATATTTAAATAATGGAGGATTGAAGCTTTTTTTATATTAAAGTTAGTCAATTAATATGCCGTGTGTGAAGTGATTTGTTGAATAAAATTTGTGGAAAGGTCATGTGAGTAACTATTCAAACAGAGAGACTTTTGGATATATGGTTCCCAATGCATTGCATGAAAATAAAAGTACAAGATGGAATATGCTTGGAAGTTCTTGAACATTTAACCGCAAGATACATTAATTAAAATGAGAAATTCTTAAAGCATCTAACACTTGGGAGACCCATGTAATGAAACATGCAATTGGATCTTACTCAATTTTATAAAATCCAATGTTAAGGTGAGTAGTAAAAGTATGATAGAAGGGGGCCTATTAAATTTTAAACTAGAGTTTTGATATTATTAAAATGTGATTGAATCTAACTCATTCTGATAAAATTGTATAGTAAATAAAAGATTTTCTCATTTTCATCTGACAACCCTAGATTTTAACTAAATGTCTATGTTATCTTTTAAATAAATAAAATATAAAAAATTCAAATTTTAAATTTTTTTGAAATTTTTATATTTTATGTTAGTTTTTTCAAAAATTTAATATAAAATTATAAATTTTGGAAAAATATATACTTTCATGCCGATATGGTTAAACATCATTTGTAAAATAACAAATTATGAAAAATTATATGATTATAAACTGGATTTCTCATTTATCTATCAGATGTATAATATAGTGGTGCCACTACTTGTCTATAATTATGTGATTTTCACATAAGAATGTAAAAAATCATGTCATAATAAGTAATTAATTATATCAAAATTCATGTGACAAGAACGCTTGTGGCAACTTAATTGCGACAAGAAATTAATAAGTAATTAGCTATATGAAAATTCACGTGGCAAGAGCGTTTGTGGCAACTCAATTGTGACGTGAAATTTATGACACAAGTTTGTTACATGATATTCACGTCGCAACAGTTTACCACGCGATTTTCATAAAAATATAAAACATACTGCATTGATTGTCTCCTTTGTCAATTATATTTCTGTAAAAATATAAAGTGGCAGAGTAGGTGACGGAGTTTGCGACGTAATTTTTACGCTACAAAATAAAAATTTACCACGTGATTTTAACATCATAAAATTGAAAAGTTTGCATACATTTACCACATGATTTTCATTTGGAAGAATTTTTTTTAATAAAAAAAATAAAAATGAATACTAGTTATTAATAATATGAAAATGAATTATTAGTAAAAATAATTACTAATTAATAAAAATATGAAAAATTATTAATAATAAAAATATTTATAAATAATAATTAAATAATATACTAAAATGAATAATTAATAAATATTTTTATAAAATTATAAAATTTTATTTAAAAAGGTTTAATATCTTACAAAAATTAAAATTTAAAAGTAAAATAAAAATAAAATAAATCACATTGGGTCATCATATTCGTCATTGTAATCATCCTCATCCATTAGTTCTTCACCACAAACTCCTTCATTTCCATCAAACTCTTGATTATCGCTCCTTTGTAATTGCATAAATTGTTGCATTTGCTCCTTCATCTCAGATTGTCTCTTTAACATTGCTTTCATTTGTCACATTTACTCCTCCATCTCAGATTGTCTCTTCGCCATTGCCTCCATTTCGACCTTTAGTGTCGCCTCACGTTGCGCCGACTCGCGTCTCGCCTTAGTTAGTGCTAGTTGTCTTATTGTTTCTAATATTTTAGGTGTCAATTGTGGTGGACGTGGTGTTCCTTCTCCATTTGCAACTCTTTGAAATAAAATTCTATCCCATTTTCTCAAGTTGTCGGCCAAAGATCCAACACCAAAAAACACCATTAGGTCTCTTTCTGCCATTTACTAAAAATAAAAATATTACATATTCTGTTTTTAATAAAAATAAAAAATTATTTTTTCTATTTTTAATAAATCAATATAACATATTTGTTTTTAATAAAAATAAAAACTAATTTTCTATTTTTAATAAATCTATATTCTGTATTGAATTTTTTTTTTGGAATAACTAGGTATTAAAAAAAAATTCGCAAATAACCATGTTTCGGAAAAATTTACGCAAATAACCATGTTTCAGATGACTCCTCAAAGGAGGAGCCATCTCACTTGTCTCCTACACCTACTTTTTAAGGGGAGGCGCCATCTCACTTGTCTCCTACACCTACTTTTTAAGGGGAGGCGCCATCTCACTTGGCGCCTAGGTGCTTAGGGCTTGCCCTAAGCCAAGTGAGATGGCGCCTTAATGCATTTGCTAGGGCAATTTTCGTATTTTTTTTTCAATCCGGTGCGTTACGTATTCGATATAGGATCAACAAAATTGACTTTTTATTTACAAAAAATGATTACACCCATAAGTATTACATAAAAAAAACAGATTAAATAAAAAAAACAGATTAATCAGTGGTCCCCCGGAACCCGGTAATGACCCCCGGTTCTGCATCCCCGTCCTCGCCTTTCCCGTGCTGGGTGTCGTCGCGTTTCCTGTTGTGGCAGGGTTGATGGCCCAGCGAAGTCAATGCGTTCCGGACCCATGAAATCAGTCAGATCTCCATATCTAGAAGATCCACTTTGGTACAGTCGGTTACCCATACCCTCAAAGTTTGATCGTGTTGCCGGTGGATAGGGTTCCATGGTTGGTCTGTAGCATTGATCGTCTGAGTACGGAGGTAGAAAGAAAATGGATCTTGGGGTGTTTGGTATTGAGGATTTTGGGTGGTTTGGTGATATTGTGGTTGATGGTAAGTTGGGTCGGTTGGTTCATAATCTTCTGACATTCCCAGATCAGGGCTAAGGTTGGATGTTGAGGGGCCCATATTGGGATATACAGAAGACTGAATTTGTGTGTGGGGTATGCGGGTGTGTTGGTATTGTGATTGGAATTGCGGTTGGGTGTGAGGCATATGGGGGTATTGGTACTGAGGTGGTGATTGTGGTTGGTCGTGGGGCATTTGGGTGTAATTGTATTATGGTGGCGATTGTGGTTGGGTGTTTGTGGTTCTGTTTTGTCTGGGGGGTTGGTGGGAGGTTAATGTGTGTTGGGTTTGTTGTTGGGGAAATGAGGGTTGTGCCCATTGTGTTCTTGGGTCAATCAAATACCTTGGATGAGACACGTGCATTTCAGGGTTACTAACTGACCTGTACCAAAATAAATACTGATCCGTGTGTCGCATATTACCATGATTGAGGAAAACCGGGAATTACAAGACATGTAGGTGACGCCTCTGCCACATCTTACACCATTCTAGAGAAAAGTCTTTCCAGTTGGTAAGACCCCATTGGGCGTCGACCCTTTTGAGATGCCACGGGGACAAATAAGTCGGATCACTGGGTATCTCTTGATGCATTCCGAACTGCATCTTCACACGGTCGTTGTGGTGCATCTCCACAACATTGAACCGTATGATTGCAGTCTTGGCGCTCCAAATTGCTGCATCCTCGGGGTTTGATTCATGGCCCAAACCCAAATATGGTCTCCAGACAAACTACACATAAAATTAAATCAGGTTAATGAAAACGTAATATATAAATAATTTAAAAGTAGAAAAGTTGAAAGGTACGACGTACATCATCCGGGCCTAGGTGATCCAATAGATTGCGGTATAGTGTGACATTGAATCTTGGATTCTTGCCGTAATCCATACCTCTCACGCAATACCTAAAGGAAATGAAAAATATTTTATTTTTATCATATCTTTGGTGAAGAGATGAATAGTAATAAATGATATAACTTGATGACTTACTTTGTTGCGTATGGGAAAACGAATGTGTTGTTGTTGACGGGGTTTAGGGACTCCATCCTCCACCAACCCCGGGCTTGAAGTAAAAAAGCGCAGCCATAAAATGTACATTTTTCCTTGATTGCATTTTTGCACAAAGAACTGTATAGGTGGGCTAAAACAGCAGAACCCCAACTATACTTTCTAGTTTTTTCGAAGTCTCTAAGTAAATTTAAATACATAAAATTTACAACATTTCCCGTACTTTCGGGAAATAAAAAGGTTCCAAATAGTATCATTAGATAAGTTCTAGCTTTTATTACCCTGTCTTGCTCGGAGGAATTTTCGTTTAATTCCAAAGTCGCATAATGATTTTTAAGCTCAGTTAGTAGTATACCCTGACCTCTCTCACCACTACCTTCAACCATATCCCTGCCCAACAATTCTTCACACTGAGAATTGGGTTGTTGAACCAACCCGTTAACGGTCTTACCATCGACAGGGAGACCCAGTAACTTGTACATATCCTCTAGAATGACGGTACATTCACCTATTGGTAGGTGAAATGTATGGATCTCTGGTCTCCACCTTTCCAACATTGCAAGTATGAACTTTGAGTCAATTGTGCAGTTGGAGATCTTTATAACATGTCTGAAACCTGCGTATTCCAGATATGGTACGATAAATGGGTCGGGATCAAGGTAGTTGTGAGACCGAATTCTGAATCTTTTGGTATCCCGAGTTAATCATGTAAAAGGTGTAAGATTAAGTAAGATGAACAAAGCATTACCAGAAGTATAAAAAATGTATAACTATAAAAGAAACTTACAAAGGATGCAATGTTGTCCCTTGTGCCTCGGTGAGAATCTCCCATTTTGAGAAGAGCCATTGTTGAAAATGCCTGAGATTATGAAAGACTTAGAAATTGTAAGAGATTATGAAAGAGTTTGTAGCAGAGAGTGAGACGATTGTGGGTGCGAGAGAAGTATGTTATACTCTGTATTTATAGGCACAAAATTTTCATAGAGTAAGTGAGGTGGTAGCTGGTGCATGCATGCATGATAAGTGTCACTCTTGCAGTGTAGGTGCAGGCTAGGTGGAAGCCTTGGAGAAGGAATCTCTGCATGCATGTAACACGATTGCACATGAAGGGAGGCACCATTGGACTTGACGAAAGAGTACAAAAATGAAAGGCGTCGCCATCCCCATTGGCGAATAAGAGGTGGCATGGTTTGCAGAGTAGGCGCA